TTGAGGATTTCCTACAAACATGCAAGCAATGTTTATTCATGCGACCACAAAATTTCATATTTCAAGATAATGAAATGTAAAATCTCAGAAAAAACATTACCGATGCTATGTAGGCTTGTGCTACAATTTCAGGCCAGACATCTGCCAGCTTTCTCAATAGCAAGAGAACAGAGATTCTGCACATCACTGGCTACTGACCATGTGCCGACAATTCCATGCACCAATTTGGTTGAATCATTCACAGAACTACCTGTCTCCAACTCTTTCTTAGTTTCTGTGATAATTTGACCGAGTTCTTTAAATCAGGAAGTCCCTTCCAAGAGCCAGTAACTAAGGAAAATCCTGTAACCAGGGATATCTACACAATGATTATCCTTAGCAATAGTTACCTGCTTTTTACAGAATTTGCAAACAATATTCATGCCACATGACCTCTTTGAAAACCTAATACAATGAAGTAAAAGTTACTTCTAGGTGGACCTCTTCTTGTATCTTAGCTTAAATTTAAGTCGCACATGGAACAATATGCCCACCACTTGGAAATTTAATGGTATGGCCATCATCCATTCTAACTACCGTTGAACAAAGATGCACATAAGCTTTTAATTGTAAGTGACTACTACGAAAATATGCATATCAAGACATGCATGCACATCCAGATGGTGACTACCAAAAGCGAACCTCACCCCCAGTTTAATGATGATCCTGGGAAACTCGTCTCCAAAGGAGTTACTTGGTGATTGCACTTAAAATGTAATTGTCTATGAGTGCAAGACCCCGACAATTGTACTCAAAAGTCTTCATTATTGCACTTAAAATGTTAATGTTCGACTCATTTTCCTCCAATTTTTTCAACTTGTTGCCATCGTCCTCCTCATGTTCAAAAATATAATTATGCCCTACAATATTTTTGCTAAAGCCTATTTCGAGGATCTGACTAAAGAAGATAGGTGGGGGTTCAAGCATTTGAAAAAACAAAGAAGAGAAGAACTTACCAAAGTGTCCCAGAAACCTTGCCACATGAAGCACAGTAATATCCTCCATCCAGCTGCATCAACTGTCCAAGATTAACA